CCCTGCCGACTTTTGGGGTGTGGGTCTTTTTTTTTCTGTGTAGAAGGACTAGGGTGCAGGCCAGAGGTGCAGGGGGTGAGAGGACTCACCAGAGACAGAGTGGGGAGCAGAACAGGCGGATCCACTGAAATCCACTAATGAGGGGTGCAGCGGAGAGGCAGGAGAGGTCAGCTGCGCCATGTGGGTCGCTCCCTGGCAGGGGTCACACTCAGGCTGCAGCAGTGACAACCTGAGACTCAACCCCTGGACTACCAGGGAGGCCCAGGACGTGGATCTTTTTACCTTTACCCATTCTAGCAGGTTTACAGTAGTGTCTTACCCTGGTTTTGCTTTGCATTTCTTTAAAAACTTTTCAGATGCCTATTTGCCATCCGGAATCCTCTTTGATGAAGGGTCATTATCTTCGCACAAGAAGCAGCACTTTTATTTATTTATTTATTTATTTTAAGATTTATTTACGCACACAAGAGCTGGGGTACAGGCCAGAGGTGGGGCGGGTGAGAGGATTCACCAGAGACAGAGTGTGGAGTGGAACAGGAGGATCCACTGAGGTCCACTACCAAGGGGAGCAGAAGGGAGACAGGAAGGAGGGTCTGCTGCGCCCTCTGGGTTAGCTCCCTGGCCAGGGATCGAACTCATGCCACAGTGGCTGGCGGCAGCTTTTAAAGGTCCCTGATGACTAAGGGGCCTGCTGGAGGAGCCACCAATGTTTGCCCAACTCCAGGAATGTGGTGCCCACTGCAGCTTCTTGCGCCCCCTGCGGGTGGGGCGCGGTACTCTCCTATCCAGAGGCAGGGACGCCTGGCCGCCCACCCCCCCTGCAGGCCCCTCACAGCGTGGACCTGGGTGGACAGTGCGCGTGGTGACTTACAGCCACTGGACGCGAGGTAGCCTGAGCCGGGAGGAAACGGCTAGTACAGCGTCACCCCTGGAGGCACAGCTCAGGCTTGAGGCTGTGGTCACGCCCCAGGCTACAAGAACCTTCGCTGACAAACCTGCCCCGGGGCTGCTGGAGCCCACAGCACAGTCTCTCCCTTGAAGCTTAACCCGGAGACTTTCACGCCAGGCAGAGCCAGCCTGGGCCCGGTTCATCCATCTTCACCCACCACCCCCGCCAGCGGAGCCGAGAGGAAGGCCATGCGAAGGTCCTTGTGGACGCCGGGCAGGCTGAGGGGCAGCAGCAGCAGCTTCTCCTCGGTTCCCAACTGGTCAGATCACAGTAGGTTTAAAGGCCCTGCAGCCAACCATCGCACTTCAACACCGCGTTAGGGCAGCTCTGTCACCAGCGATGGCGCGCAGCACAGCAGGCGAAGCAGGACGCGGCGCGTAACGGAAGCAACTGCGGGTGGAAGCAAAGGGCCGGGGAACGCGACAAGGAGAACACGCTAAAAGTCATGACATACTAAAAAAAGACATCAAAGCTGTTTCTCTGCGTGCAGACTGTCGACTGGTGCAGGTAAGAGGGCTCTTTTTTTTTTTTAAGTCATTTTTTTTTTTTTATTAGAGGCATGTATTTTATTTGTTTGTTTGTTTGTTTGTTTGTTTATACAAGCACTGGGTACAGTCAGAAGCGCGGGAGGGTGAGAGAATCCACCAGAGCCACACGCCCGACGGCGCCAGTGCGTGGGGACCGTGAAGCCGGAACACAGGCACTGAAGGGAGAGTGTCATTGGCTCACCCCACTTTAGTGGTTCCCAGTGTAAAAAGGGAGAGTGAGCCTAGAAGCCACGGAGTCCCCTCCGGAAAGGTGAAAACATAGCTAAGGGTGCTGGTGGAGCGCAAGTGCCGTCAGCACCGCCAGACCTGTGAAGACACGGCGGTGCCCCCACGATGCCTGATGCCCGTCAGTCGGTCACAGAGAGCGACACCTCCCACCACCAGCCGGAGTCAAGCGGAAGGCAGGAACACACCGGGACAGGGTGTGTGGAAACAGAAGAGGCAGTGGAGGTGACAACAGCAGGGAAAGAACGTTATTCAGTGCCACCAGGAGACAGCGGCGGTGCTAAGATAACCAGAGAAACGTTTCATGTGGAACCCCTTAGATCATTAGAAAAATGAAGACACATAAAGAGTATTTGGAAGATGAGACAAAGTTAAGAACCGTGGGAATCGAAGAGAATGAAAACCTGCGTCTCCTGACCACAGCCTCGAGTTCTGCTGTCCTGCCGAGCGCGCGCCTGACAGCGGGGACAGGACGGGCACACAGCGATGGCGCCTAGGGGAAGCGTGATGGGCAAGAAGCGGCACTGAGTGGCTCAAGAATCTTTATTTTTGGGGGCCCCCTGGTGGCGCAAGGAGTTAAGACGCAACCTATGAAGCTGTGCGCAGCCTCTGCAGCATGAGTTCGATTCCCTGGCTGGCCAGGGAACTTACCCGCCCACGTGGCACAGCAGACCTCTCCTGATTCGCCCGCTGCTCCCCTCAGCAGTGTGTTTCAGTACATCTGCCCGTTCTGCTCCCCACTCTGTCTCTGGTGAATCCCCTCACCTCCTGCACCTCTGGCCTGTACCCATTTCTTGTATGCATAAATTATTTTTTTTTTAAAAGAATCTTCATTTTTGGAGTCTTGGTGACAGGCTCTGGCATCATGTACTTTGTGATGCTTTGGCTCACACTACCGAGAATGCGGCTGCTTAAACTGGTCATTAAATGATGGTGTAGATTTTTTTTTTTTAAAGTGGGAGACAAAGTTTTATTTTTATTTATTTATTTGTTTGTTTGTTTATTTATACAAGCACTGGGTACAGTCAGAAGCACGGGAGGGTGAGAGAATTCACCAGAGCCAGAGCGGGGAGCAGAGCAGGCAGAAGGACCGAAGGACACTGCTGAGGGGAGCCGCGGGCGGCAGGAGAGGTCTGCGCGCCATGCGGGACCCTCCTCCGGTGGCCGGGGAGCAGCCGGGGATCGAACCTGCACTGCAGAGGCTGCGGGCAGCTTCGCAACCCAGCACTCAACCGCTGCGCCACCGGGGAGGGCCTTGATTTTTTTTTTGAGTTTACGAAACAATTACTCCAATGCCCAATTATGGGTGCAGAATAACAACCATGTCACACATACTTTATTAGCCCTGTGCAAATTTAATCACAATATACACTTGTCAAGCTGTAGAGTGTAACTTAAGAATAAACTCGTTATACTTTTGAAAACCAATTCCAAGTAACAGAAGGTGAGCTCTGTTGTGCACACGCATGGATCCGGGCAGATCTATGTGAAAAGGAAAGGCGGGAAGGGAGCGGGAGCAGAGCCTGGGTAGGATCTGGCTCCAGACAACAGGAGCTATGTCATCACCTGCCAAACCCGCATCTCATTTTTAACATGAGGAAGATGTCAACGTGTCTTCAAAAGGTTTCCCCCAAATGCTGTGCGATTTAGAATCTCAAGGTGAATCTGGACAGAACATTAGGTCCTTAGGAAGGGTTTGCACATTGTGAGTGAGTCGGAGTCACCGCGTGGGCAGCTGAGTCCCGGCTGCAAGTCCAGCTCTGAAAGCCTCCTCTGGGCACAGCTGCGTGTGGTTTGAGCTGGTTCCGAAGTTGGTTCTTAGGACTTGGTCACCGCGGGCGCGGGGCCGGAAGGGGCATGCAAACTTTAAAGGCAGGGCCCCCCCGGGGGGCAAGGGGTGAAGCACTGCACTATGAAGCTGTCCTCAACCTCTGCAGCACAGGTTCGATCCCCGGCCGGCCAGGGAGCAGCCCACATGGCGCGGCAGACCTCTCCTGTCTCCCCGTTGCTCCCCTCAGCAGTGGATTTCAGTGGATCCACCTGTTCTGCTCCCCACTCTGTCTCTGGTGAGTCCTCTCACCCCCCACACTTCTGGCCTGTACCCCAGCTCCTGTATGCATAAACAAATCTTTGTAAAAAATAAGCTTGACAGGCCAAGCGCCTGTGGGGACATAGTGGGGTGCCGGGGGCCGCCGTCTCTGCCGACCTCAGCAGCTCTCGGGGCACCCGGGACTCCGGGGCTGCCACCGACCCCGCCAGGGACGCCGCGGCTCCTCCGCACGGTTCGCTCCTCAGCTGGAGCCAGGGAGGGAGCAAGGCCGGCCCCGGAGACAGCGCCCCGCGGGCCGCCGGCAGGCGTCTCCCCGACTACGGCCTCCGCGTCGCGCGGGACCCCCGAGCGGCAAGGACAGTCCCGAGCCTCAGGCCCCTACTAGGCAGCGGCGTGCGGCCGGAGCCCGAGCCTCCGAACGCCAGCGCGCAGGAGCCCCGGCTGCTCACAGGCTGGGCCGCGCCCGCGTCCGCGTCCGCCTCTGCAGAGCAGGCGCGGCGGCCCCAAGCCAGAGGGACACATCTTGACGGCTTAGACTGGACTTCCGGCACAACGCCCGGCTGAGAGCCAGGTCTATTGGGTTTTGCCCCTGTCCATCATCCAGCCCCGTACATGACTGGTGGAGACTGACCTGGGGGTGGGGCTATCCCCGGCCGAGCGCAAGTCAGCTTCCGGTGGTAGCGCGGGGGCTGTCGGGACGCCGGAAGCGGCCCGACAGTTGTGGTTCCGGGGCGCCGCGGGGGCGGCCGGGAGCCCGGAAGCCGGCCCATGGCTGTGGGTTCCGGCTGGGCGGCCGCCCGGGCCTTCCGGCGAGGTAAGCGCGCTCCCGGCCGGCGGCATGGCGGGCCCCGCGGGGGCCGGCGCGGTGGCGGCCGCCTTCGTGCTTCTGGCGGCCGCGCTGGTGCTCTACGGGCCGCCGCTGGACGCAGGTACCCGGCCGCGGGCCGCTGCTCGGGCGGGAGGCGCGGCGGGGCGCCGGGGTCCGAGCGCTGCGGCGTCCGCGGCCGGGGCTGGGAGCGGGCGCGGGGTCACCCGGGGAGGGGCTCGCCCGAGGCCCCCGGGCCCCGGGCCCCCGGGGGTGCCCCCGCTCGTCTGCCCTCCCCGCTCCCTGTGCCCCGTGGGGCGCCGCGGCTGTGTCCTGCGATCTCACGCCCCACAGGTGGCGGGGCCGCTGCGTCCACCTTTCCCGGGCGACCCTGGAGGCTCCCAGAAAGTGAGTGAGGCCGGCGCCGAGGTCCGCAGGAAGGTGGCCCCCGTGGACGCCCAGGGGGTTTGGGCTTTGTGCTTCTGGACGCTGCGGGGCCCCTTGGCACTGCGCGTCACACCAGCCAGGGGCTCTGGAGCCAGTTTGTTCAGAGACTGTTGCCTGGGTTTTGGGGGGTGGCGCCTTCTCTGCCCGGTGAGTCAGCTGGGCTCGCGGTGCTGCTTCCACCCGCCAACAGTAAACAGTGGATGCCAGGTCTGGGGTCCCCATCCTAGTTTTAGGGGGTGTTCCGGGAACAAGGACACCATCATGTGCTCCGGATTAGTTATGAGTCACGTGAACCGTAGGCGAGCTTGGCACAAAGAAGCTCTGGCATCACAGAAAGCGGAGAGTGACGAGGAATTCCGGAAAGGAGCGCAGCCTTAAGACATCGCTTCAGTTCTGCGGTCTTCCTCAGCCACACATGGTTAAAAGGAAAACCAGACCGGTTCCACCTGTTCTTTCCCGCTCAGAATTTGTCCTGAAGGCAGAGGCACTTAGTAGGACCCATTCACGCTGCCCCTTGGGAAGGCCCTTCTGTCCCTCAGAACGATGTCGTGTGTGGTTCTGCGGAGGCAGTGCTCAGTAGCCGCCAGAGCGCAGTCGCTGCGAAAGCGGAATGGCCTCCTCTCCTCGGCCCGAGGGGTCTTCTGCTCTGTCTCTCTGGCCTTGGTCTCCCTGTTAGCAACGTCTGCTGCTCCCTGTCTGCTGAGAGTCAAGATGCCTTTCACTCACCAGATATTCAAGGGTCTTGTCCTGTACTGACCATTTGTGAGGTGATTGAGGGCGGGGGTGCAACCTGGAGGCACGCGAGCTGCGGCCCATTCTGTGCAGGCAGAGGGGAGTGGGTCGTGGGCGACACTGGGTGTGGCTCGGTGCGGCACCTTGACAACCCCACAGTGCTGCCAGGAGCCCAGGACGACCGGAGTGACTGCGGAGGCTGGGTTCCGGTGGCAGTGTCTAGAGTCGAAGGTGGCTCTTGGGCTGGGGGGCCTCCTGGGGCCCCGACGGAGCTGTGGTGCGCATCGGTGCGGGAAGTCACAGCGCTGGGAGGAAGGCTTGTCGGCGCTGGGCTGGGCAGAGCCCTGAGCTGTAAATGCGCCTGGTGAGAAGCTGGGCAGAGCTGGGCCTTGGGATGCCGAGTGAGCGGGGAGAGAGCGTGCCCTTCTTAGCGCAGCGCCTGGTCCTCATCGGGGTGCGGTCTCCGTGGATGTGCCCGGAGCAGAACAGGCAGGCGCGCGAGGAAAAACTAGGCAGGGGGCTGGTGGGTGCCAAGCCCAATGGTGCCACTTGTTGCCGGTGTCATGGTGACGGCCTGGCTTGCCAAGGGTGGGGGGGGGTGGCTGTCACGGGGTCTCCTTCCGGCGTGGGTCCAGGCGTCTGATGTGGCAGCTCTGGAGGCCTTATGTCAATCTGTTAAAGAAATGGCCTGGTCTTGTTGAACCAGAGGTGGCGGGGGTGCCAGCAAGGTGGAGGCTGGCTGACTGCGTGGACCGGGCGGCTCTCCACCCTCCTGGGACTCCAGGCGTGAGTCCAGCTTTCTCTGTGCTGAGGTGATGGAGGAATGAGCTGGCTGGGGCCTGTGTAAGCGGGGTGGCCCGTGTCTGCACAGGTCCTGTAATTCTGGAGAAAATAAAGCTTTGCGCACCCCGTCCATCGGGGCAGAACACAGCATCCCAGGCCGCCCTGGGGGCGCACGGGGTTAAGCACGGCACTGTGAAGTTACCTGCAGCCTCTGCAGCACAAGTTCGATCCCCGGGCAGGAAGAAACCCACAGGGCGCAGCAGACCTCTCCTGTCTCCCCGCTGCTCCCCTCAGCAGTGTGTTTCAGTGGATCCACCTGTTCTGCTCCCCGCTCTGTCTCTGGTGGATCCTCTCACTCCCCCACCTCTGGCCTGCACCCCAGCTCTTCTATGCATACGTAAAGAAATGTTCAAAAAACAAAAAAAAAGACAGTGTCTCTCAGCTGGTTGTCTCAGCCTTGAGGCAGTCAAAGGGATGGAATGATTCGTGAAATGCCTCTGCGCCCAGTGTAAGTGGGTCCTGTGCTCGGGAGGCCGTCCTAGTTCTCTCGCAGAGTGTGTGATGGGGGGAGGCGCTGGGAAGGGGCTCTGGGACCCTTCGAGCTGGCAGATGGGACCCCGAGGTGCTTCCCTGGGTGACAGCGCACTGCTGGCTCTCAATGCGCTGCGGGACGCCCCCCCCAGAGCAGAGCAGGCTTCGCGCCGCCCCTTAGCCCTGCTCCGGTGGGCGGCGAGGCCGCGGGGGAGACTCGGCCTTCCCGTCAGGTCCGCTCTGCGAAGGGCTTTGGCCGCCACGCTCTGCCCGGGTCTCTGTTCTGTGCGGGAACGGGCGGATTTGGGCGCCTCCGAACACCTCCCTCTCCCGCCTGCTAGTTCTGGGAGGAGCGCTGTCGCTGCAGGAAGCCCGCCCGCCGAGGAGCATGGAGCAGGCCGCGGCGCTGGTGAGGAGCATCGTGCCGCCTCTGGGCGCCAGGAAGTACAAAGGCCAGGACGGCCGCATCGGCGTCGTGGGCGGCTGCCGCGAGTGCGTGAGCCGGGGCGCTCTGCGGCCCAGGGTGCCCTGGAGGGAGGGGCTGGGCCGGGCCGTCCTCCGTGGGGCTCGCGCGCTCGGGCAGCGGGCCCTGCCGCCCCTGCCCCGGCCCCGCGTGGGCCTCCGTCCTTCTCTGCGGCCGCCCCGCCGTCCCCGTGTGCCGCCTGCACCCCGCCCCTCCCCGGCTCTGTGGGCTCCGGGGTGGGGGGAGACGGCGGTTGCCGCCCCCAGGCCGGCGGCGGGGTCAGGGCTGCGGCGGTCCTGAGCGGGGTGCCTCCTTCCAGGTACACCGGCGCCCCCTACTTCGCGGCCATCTCCGCCCTCAAAGTGGTACGTGGCTGGGCGCGGCTGCCGGGTCTGTGGGGCGACGAGGCGGCCTCTCCAGCCCGCGGCGGCAGGGCCCGCGCAGCCCCACTGGGCGTCGGGCGCTGGAGTCCACGGCGCCTGCGAGCGTGGCCCCGGTGCCCTTCCTGTCCTGCCCAGCGGCCGGCAGCGTCACCCTCCGCTCTTCAGGAGCTTCCTGACGGCCGCCAGCGCAGTCTAGGTCCCGCCTCCCGGCTGGCTGCACCGGGCGGCCGCCCCCGGGCCTCCCTGGGCCCACAAAGGGGCCCCCCTACCCGCCCCCCGCCCCCGCGGTCAGTAGCCACTGCGGCAGGGCCCTTTCTCCGCCGGGCGGGGTGGGCAGCCGGCCGCAGACCCAAGCCCAGGGCGGCGGCTTCGCGAGCCCCCGTGGTGTCCGCCAGCGAGGCCGCCTCAGCCCCCGTGCTCCTTCCTCAGGGCGCCGACTTGTCCCACGTGTTCTGCACCCGGGAGGCCGCCCCCGTCATCAAGGCGTACAGCCCCGAGCTGATCGTGCACCCGGTTCTGTGAGTGGGGTCCTGGGTGCCCCCGGGGGAGCTGCGGCCCGCGGCAGGGCTGTCGCGGGAGGGAAGGACGGCACCCTGGTGGGTGGGCGGCAGACACCCCAAGCGCCGCGGTGGGGCGCTGCCCCTCGTGGCCCGGCGATCTGGGGGCCTCGGTCCAGGTCTGGGCACCACGAGGGTGGCGGGAAGGCTCGTGGCTGCCGAGCGTGTCCCCCGTGGCGAGGCCTTCAGCTGACTGGAGCTGGGGTGGTGTCTGCTGCCGGGCAGCGTGGCCGCCGCGTCGCACTGGGGGAGGGGGCACGGGCATGGCGGCGTGGCCTGTGGGGCGCGTGTCGCGAGCGCCGCGGGTCACCCATGCCGTGTGCGCGCGTGTGGTGTGTGCGTGTGCGAGAGAGACGCCTACGGTGGCACGCGAGAGAGGCCTGATGCGGCGAGGGCGTGAGCACCACGGGCCTGGGGGGCCCCCACACCCGGAAGAGCTGGGGTGCTGGGATGGGGTGACCTGTGCTCAGGCCAAGCCCCGCGGGCAGTGGGCCCCGGGGTCCGGCGGGCGTGTCGCTGGGCGAGGGCTGCAGGGGAGGGCGGGGCCCAGCTTCGGTTCCATGGGTCAGCTGGCTCCTGTGTCGAGGACGGGCCCTGGGCCCGGGGTAGAAGCGGGGTCCCCCCAGGAGGCCTCGTGAGGACCAGGTGGCGGGTCAGGGATGGCGCGGATTCTGGGGGCCCCAGCGCAGGCGTGTAGCGCGTGCTCCGGCGGGTGCGGCTCGGGGGTTTGGGTGCTGCTTAGCATCCGGGCAGACGCGGCCGATGGGCCTCGGGGAGCGGCTGTCGGGGGCACAGGCGCGGCGGCCACCGCGTGCCGGCACGTGGACCAGGACGTGAGCCCGGGCGTGCCTGTGGGCCGGGGCGGCGGGCGAGGCTGGGAGCGCGTCCCGGGGTGCAGAGCAGAGCTTTGCGGACGGCTCTGGAAGGGCCGTAGCCCTGCGGACGGGTAGTGCGGACGCGGGAACACAGCGGAGCTGGGCCTGGAGCAGCGAGCTGGGGGCGGAGGCTCGTGTCCCGCCGCGCCTTGCCACGACGTGCCGGCCGGCGAGGGTCGGGCCGCTGCGTGTGGGCGGCGGGCCTGTCGGCTGGCTCTGGGGGGCGCTGACTGACCCCAAAGGCACCCCGTCCGCTCGCTGCGCAAGGAGCGGGTCTGCGGGAAAGAGCGAGGGGCGCGGGGCCGGCGCGGGGCGGCCTCACCACCTGCCTTCTCCCCGCCCAGAGACAGCCCCGGAGCCGTGCGAGCCGTGGAGGAGTGGCTGCCCCGCCTGCACGCCCTGGTCGTGGGGCCTGGCTTGGGGAGAGACGAGGCCCTGCTCAAAAACGTGCAGGTAACATGGGTCGCGGGCCGCCGCTCGTCGGGGCAGCCGCGGCCTCCCGCTCAGTGTCCGCGCGCCGCCCCCGGGACGGCCGTGACCGAGGCGGGCGGAGGGGCTGTCAGCTGAGGCGTGGCTGCTCCGGAGCGGGCGCGGCAGCTGGGTCGCTCGGGCGCTGTGGCGTCTACACGTGGGGCTCCGCGCGCCGGAAAGGATCCCGCCCGGTCCCGTGGACAGGGCTTGGGGTCTGGCTGGGGTTCATCTCAAGGCATGACCCTCTCCTGCCGGGGCCCTGGCCGCTGGCTCAACCCCTCAGCCTTGGTCTTCGCTGTCAGGGGTGATGGCGTCTTCGGTTCCTGAACCCCACTTTAAAGAGTGCCCGGGAGGCTCAGCCCCCATCAGGCGGGACCCTCCGGCCCTATGTTGCATCTGCCGCAGGCAACCCTCCTGGGGGTCGTTTCTGGGAGGGACTCTGACCATCCTGCTGGCCGCGCGCGGGGCTAAACCCAGGTGGCCTTCCCGGCCGGTGGCAGTGGTTCGCAGAGCCCCCGCCTGCCCCCACGGCTGCTGCTTCTCCCTCCTTGGGGCCTCGCTGGGCAGTGGGTGTGTGGCCTTGTCCTCCGCTTTGTTCTCCGCTGTCCCCGGATGAGACCAGCGCGGCCAGGAGGCGGGTGGCGCGGGCCCTCGGCCTGACCTAGACCCCTCCGTGTCCTCCACTGGAGCGGGTCTGGGCCCCCCGAGATGGGGCGGGCGACATCTGCCCGCCGGAGTAGTCTCCGGGCCTCGCGTGGGTGACGCAGAGCCGCCGAGCGCCCGGCTCGGGAAATGTGTTCCGGGGAGCGTGGTCAGTGGCCAGCCGGTCTCACCGGGGCTCTCGACCCTCACGGAGCTGGTGGCCCTGACGTCCCCCGCCAGCCAGTGAGCCCGGGGCGGGCGGCCGGGCGTCGGGCACAGCCCTCTCACCCCCCGGCCCGAGCGAGCCAGCCCTTGGCGCGCCGTCAGCTGCTGGGCTCAGACGTCGGGGGCCCAGTTCAGACCCTGTCCGCGGCCTCGCTCGGGCCGCACTGTCAGAGCCTGGGGGGCGAGCGCAGCGAGGGAGCCGTGTGTGAGGCTCAGGAACTGTGAGCCCCAAGAGCTGTTTGATGTTAACAGTAAGCCCCGCGCGACGCCGCGGCCTGAAGGAGGGGCCGTGGGGCTGCGCGTTTCTCCCTGGCCGTTGGCCGTCGCTTCCGCCTAGCGCGCTTTTTGTTTCGGTTGTTTTTGTGTTGTGCGTTGCGGAGCGCCTGCTTGCGGGGGCAGATTCCGTGCTGCCGCGACACGCGTGAGCTTGTGAAAGTGCAACAGTGGGAACACGTGAAGGAAAGTGCAACACGTGGTTCCCGTGGAGGAAACGAATGTTGAATTGTTTTTAAAGAGGAGAGCCCCAGCTGTCGGGCGGCCCCTCCGAGGGCAGCGCCTGTGCTCGCTACTCTGATGCCAGCAGCGCCCTGGGGGCTCCCGGGCTGTCGGATCCGGGTCTCCTGCTTGCTTTGTGTCTCCGTGTCTCCCCGCCCAGTCATGAAGTCGCTGCTGGTGCCTCGCCCGTGGGGTGGGGGCTTCGTCTCAGGGCTGCTCCCTCCCCGCAGGGCATCCTGGAAGCATCGAGGGCCCTGGGCATCCCCGTTGTGGTGGATGCGGTGAGTGTGGAGTGTGGGCCCCCCCCCCAGGCTGGTTCCCCAGGGCCGTTTGGTGACGCTGCCTCCGTCCTTCCCTGCAGGACGGGCTGTGGCTGGTGGCTCAGCGGCCGGCCCTCGTCCAGGGCTACCCGAAGGCCGTCCTCACGCCCAACCACGTGGAGTTCGGCAGGCTCTGCGAGGCCGTGGTGAGTGGGGCGAGCGCCCGGCGCCTGCCCCGCCCCGCCGAGGGTGAGGGGCACAGGGCAGCAGACCCGTCTTTCCACCGTGGCCGTTCGCGCGTGAGCAGGTCCCTTCTTGGTGGCGCCTCTACCTGTCGGTGCGCCCTCCACGGGTGAAAGTGGGGTGGCAGGCTCCAGACAGGCTGCACCCCGCCCCGCGTGGCCTGCCCAGGGCTGCGAGGGCAGGGCCTCTCCCTGGGCCCAGAGGGGTGGGGGGGGGTCTCTGCCGAGCCTGCTGTCGCGTTCACGCCGCGGGCGCCTTCCCGGGCCTCCTTCCCTGCGGGGCGAGCCGGTCTGCACGGGGCTGGAGCTCAGGGCGGCTGGCCCAGGTCCCTGGACACGAGGCCCGGGGGCACTGGCTGGCGGGCAGCCCTGCAGGCGCCTCATGCCCCGGCGTGTGTGTCCCGGGCACAGCTGGGCGCGCGGGCGGACGGCAGCAGTCGCCACGCGGCTGTGCTGAGACTCAGCCAGGCCCTGGGGAACGTGACGGTGGTGCAGAAAGGGGAGCAGGACCTGATCTCTGACGGCCAGCAGGGTGAGTGCCGGCTCGCGGCGCGGACAGTGGGGGCTCCCGGGGTGTGGGCGGGACCCTGACGCAGGGCACACGCCCCGTGGCAGCTCAGGGCACACGTCCTCCCCCGCCCCGCCCGTTGCATTTCTCCTTGGCAGCCGTGCTGGGCCTGGGCCTGGCTGTGGGGCGCGGGGCTCTGCCGCGGCCCCGGGGCTTGGTGATGGTGCCACAGGTACTGCCCAGTTCCCGGGTCAGCACTCGTGGGCTGAGTGCCCGGCACCATGGGGGGCACGTTCCAGTCCCACCTTCTCAGGGGCCATGGCCGGAGGGCAAGGCGGGTGCGTGGGGGTCGCGCCTGGACGCCACAGCCCCCAGTGTGGCGGGGCTTCTCCGTGTGTGGCAGTCAGTGCGGGCATCCCCTGGGGGTGTGTTGCCCACCAGCACTTGGGGATCAGGGTCCCCGAGGCGGTCAGGCCCGCTTGGGCATATTGCACACACCACACTCACACCTCACACCCCCAGAGACAAGGGGTGTTCCCTGGGAACCCCTGTGTGTGTCTGTGAGTCACAGGTCTGCACACCCCTGGGCTCAGGCCAGCCTGCACGCTCGCGGCTCTCCCGGCAAGGGGCCCCGGTAGGGCGGAGCGCTGGCTGGCGCGGGTGTGCCTACGGCCAGCCTTAGGCGCCGTCCGCTCTGCACAGTGCTCACGTGTGACCAGGAGGGCAGCGGCCGCAGGTGCGGTGGGCAGGGCGACCTCCTGTCGGGCTCCCTGGGCGTCCTGGTGCACTGGGCTCTCCTCGCTGGACCCGAGAAGACACGAGGGTATGGCCGCACCCCTTCCTCCCGCAGGGACTCGGCGCTCTGGCGCTCCTTTAGCACGAGCACGCGGAACGGACAGTGGCTGGAAACGTTCCAGAGAAACCCTGGCACCACGTGGGTGCAGCTGGGCCAGACTGCCAGGCCTCTGCCTCAGTAGATGCCCGTGGGGCTTGGGTGTGGGGCTTGGGAAGCTGCAGCCACGTCGAGGGGATGGTCCTAGCAGGGCTCCCGGGCGCCAGATGGGGGTTTTCCCAGTGAGGTGACGGGAACCTGGCGGGCGTGGGGTGGGCAGGGCCCTGTGAGCCTCTTCCTCTGCACTCGCCCCATGATGGTGACGGCGGAGCCTGGCCCGCGAGGCAGTGCTGGGGTGCACCTGCGGGGAGGAGGCCCAGGCGTGCTGCTGTCTCCGCTCTGACGGGCCCGCCCGTGGGCACAGGCTTGGGTGTTCCTCACCCCGGGAGACCAGGGACACTCCGTGTGGGGGTAGAGGCGCGCGAGGAGCACACCCCTCGCCGGGGGTGGGGATCCTTGTGCCAGCTGTGATAGCAGAGCCATGCTCTGCCTTGGAGGCTCGTCCTGTCAGGCTGGAGCGGCCAGTTGGGGGTTCGGGTGGCCATGGGAGGAGCCCAGCCAGGTGCCTGCTGACAACCCTCTCCTGCAGCTCCAGCCCCCTGCTCGTTGCTGCCCTCGGCGCCTGCACCCTCACCCGCCAGTGCAACCGCCAGGCCTTCCAGAAGCACGGCCGCTCCAGCACCACCACCGACATGGTGGCCGAGATCGGCGCTGCCTTCCACACGCTCTTTGAGAGCTGAGCCGGGCGGTGGTGCCCGCCGGGGCAGGGGCCTGCCGGAGTCCCTTCCCCATGTGTCTGAGTCTCTGAGCCCGCTGCGCCGCCAGCACGCAGGACACGACCACTCGGGCCAAACGCATGCGGTGGGGTGTCCTGGCGACCCTGGGCCTGGTGTTTGCGCAGCGCCTCAGCGGCGCGTCACCCCCTCCCCTCCCCCCATGTCCAGGAGACCCCTCGGGGCTGTCCAAGGCCGGGTTTGCCTGAACTGAGGCAGAGGCGGCTCACCCTTGCCCTATGAGGAAGAGGTCGGAAGTGCCCAGTCACGAAGGCCGGTGGGCGCCGCTGTCAGTCAGGAGGCACCGCGGGGAAACCCGCGGGGGCCTGGTGACGCGGGTGTGGCTCGTGTCCAGAGAGCCCAGCACAGGGTGGCATGTGCCCGGGAGAGGGGTCCCGGCGGGGGTTCAGGGACTTGGGTGCTGGGGCTGCTGGGGAGGCTGTGGCCGGTCACCGGGAACGGCCGTCGAGGGGCGGTGGCTGGTTCACAGCGCATGTCTGCTCACACATGTCCAGTCTGCCCAGGGCCGGGCCCGTCCACGCCTCCAGCCCCTGCCCCTGCCCCATGACACTGTGGTCCTGACCCCCGCCCAGCGGGCCAGGCCCTTCCTCCTGTGAATCAGTTTGTGCGGGTTTTTAAAAAAATCGCCTCTGCTGATTCCCGGCCGACTGGAGGCGGTTGCTGGGCCTCCCCACAGCGCGGCGGGGCATTTCTCCCCCGGGTCTTCACGTCTGTCCCCACAACTATTAAAAGGCAGGTGTGGGGCCTCCCCGGTGGCGCAGCGGTTGAGCGCTGGATTGCGAAGCTGCCCGCAGCCTCTGCAGTGCCGGTTCGGTCCCCAGCTGCTCCCCGGCCACCGGAGGAGGGTCCCACATGGCGCGCAGACCTCTCCTGCCGCCCGCTGCTCCCCTCAGCAGTGTCCTTCGGTCCTTCTGCCTGTTCTGCTCCCCGCTCTGGCTCTGGTGAGTTCTCTCACCCTCCCGCGCTTCTGACTGTACCCAGTGCTTGGATAAATAAATAAATCTTTAAAAAAAAAAAAAAAAGGCAGATGTGGTTTATTTTCCTGTAGTTTTGTGCTTATTTTCTTTTTTATTATTATTTTAAAGATTTATTTATACAAGAACCAGGATACAGGCAAGATATGCGGGGGTGAGAGGATGCGCCAGAGCCAGAGCGGGGAGCAGAGCAGGCAGAAGGACCGAAGCACACTGCTGAGGGGAGCAGCTGGCGGCAGGAGAGGTCTGCTGCGCCCTGTGGGATCCTCGCTGGCCGGCCGGCCAGGATTGAACCCACGCTGCAGAGGCTGCGGGCAGCTTCCCAGTGCGGCGCTCAACCTGCTGCGCCACGGGCAGGCCTGGTGTGTTTATTTCCTTAAACAGCCAGGGGGACACTCGAGCCGCCTGCCTCTCCGTGGCGCATCTCAGTGCGCTGGTAGCACGTGGGGCTCGAGGACAGGCCTGCAGCTCTGTCGTCTCCTCCTGGTCTGCTCAGGTCTTCGGCGTGCAGAGGCGCATGATGGGCAGCACGCAGGGCGCTGCAGCCGCCGCCTCGTGCTCTCTGTGCCGTGTGGCAGTTGCTTGGCCAGTGGGGGGCTCTCCACCCTGGCCCTGGGTAAGGCAGCCCGGAAGCTGCCTTGTGACCCTCTTCCTGACCCCCTTCATGGGGGGCCCCTGCCCCTGAGGCCTGACAGCTCAGGGCCTGGGCGGGAAGGACCCGTGCGCAGGCGCAGTGACGGAGGCCAGGACAGCGGGGTGCGGCGCCCGCTCGCTCACCAGCAGCTCGGGCGCACTAATGCGCGGCTTTATGGTGACACAGCGGGACAGGGCTCGTCCTGCCTGCGCCCGCGTGTTCTCAGTGGCCTGGTGTCTGGTCTTCTGGCTTCGGACCCCGCAGTTCCCATGTAGAGGTGCTGGCTCTGTCCTAGTGTGGGGGGCGGGTTCAGAGAAGCAGCGCAGGTCCCCCAGCCCGTCTGCCCGTGTGGGCGGGGGGGAGCCACGACCCAGCCAGGCCCCCACCCCTCACGAGCTTGCTCTGCCCGCAAGCAGCACTGGCCTGGGGTCTGCGCCAGGCCCCCACGTGGCAGTCCGCCCTCCAGCCTGCGGCAGCAGCTACCTTGATGCTGACGCCATGGGCGGCCAGGTCCTGGCGCAGGGCATCACACGCCTCCAACAGGGGCCGCCTCTCCTGCAGCTGCCGCTGCCGCGCCTCCCCCAGGGGCTCCCCCGGGGCCAGGGCGAACTGCCGGACTCTGAGCCGGAAGCGGACCAGCTCCTCCAGGACGCTGCGCAGCGTGGCCAGGCTGCCGTCCCCTGCAACAGACTGCCGGGCGGGCGGCGTGAACGGCACCGGCACGGGATGCAGCCTCGCGTCCACTCTGATGCCCAAGTCCAGAGCGAAGGGGGCAGCTGGGAGAGCAGCCTCAGTCCCACCACCCGGACAGTGGGTGTCACCCGCGGGGACACGGCCCTGGGTGCCCGAGGGGCTGTGCGGGGACACGGTGTCCTGCCCGCTTCCCGGGACGGGGCCCGCTGGTAGGTGTCAGCGTCAAGGCAAGAAGATCGAGGTGGGGGGGGGGGGCAGCCGAGGGCGCCTGGACAGGCCTGGCGCAGTACCCTCGCGGCCAGGGGGTGGCGAGCCACGGGCCTGCCGGCTGCAGGTGGGTCGCTGTGTTCCCTTTGACACACCGTCAGCCCACGCGCCGGCGTGACAGTTACGTGCCGAGGCAGAGGCTCTGAAGGGAAAGCCGGTGGCGGCGCTGGCCCGTAGCTGCCCCCACAGCGGCGGGCTGGGCAGGAAGGGCGCACCTGCTGGCCGGCCAGCGAGACGCCGACCGTGTCAAAAAACTGCTCCACATACGAGATGACCGAGCCGAAGACGATGGGACTCCTGGGGCCTCCGGGCTCCTGGAACAAGGCCCAGAGGCTCTTCACCAGCAGACACTGGCAAGGTCAGCTCCCCACCCGGCCAGGGCCCAGCTCTGGCGGGAGACCCACCCTGCAGCCCTGCAGCCAAGCTTTGACCTGGGGGACCCCAGAGCCACCCGCTGGCACCTCACCCGGTGGGAGGCCACCTGAGGGGCCAGGCTGGGGCGGGAGGAGGTCCCAGCCACGAGCCGCCTGTTTTGTCTCAGCAGCAAACCAAATCTGCCGAGTCCCTCCGAGTGGGCAGGCTGCCCACCTGCCCCTCCCTCTGCCTGGCTGCCACCAGCAGCGGGACATGAGGTCCCCCACCAGGAGCTTGGCACGGTGGCATCTGCTCCTTTGGCGGGAAAACCACACACCACAAGCGCCCGCCCCCAGCCCCCACCCCGGAGACCTCCTCGGTGGCCGCCCTCAGCTGCCGGTTCCCGTGGTGAACGAGGTCCATGATGGCGTCCACTGCTCTGGGGGTGTCGAAATCGTCGGCCAAGGCAGCCCGCACAACCCCCTTGGTGTGGCTGAGCCTGGGGAGAAGGGAGCAATCACCCGGGGGCCGGGGGGAGGAGCGGCCAGATGCCTGCCTTGGGGTGCCCGTGGCCTGGGCGCTGGGGCGCGCGCAGGGCCTTCTCACCCTCACAGTCATCGGCTGCCTCCCGTGGTGCCTTGTGAGGGCTCAGTGGGTCGGCACCACGTCCACACCCCTGCGCAGGACCCTGCGTCCCAGCCTCCCCCGCGCCCAGCACCCACGCCCACACAGCCGGCTGGCACCCACCTCTCCCACAGCACGTCCTCGCTGATGGAGCCGCAGGCCAGCTGGCCCCGCACGTAGGCCCGGGCGTCCTCTACGAAGGCGGCCAGGGCCCGCAGGAGGCGCTCGGCGTCCAGCAAGCTGCCATCGCTGTAGTCGATGCCTGCAGGGACGGGCGTGATGGGCTTCGGGCTGCCCACTCCCGGCCCCTGCTTCTCTCCAGGGGCCCTGTGGCCGCGCAAGCCACCTGCCGCCTGCTGCCCTGGGTCTGGTGGTCAGGGGGTAGGACAGCCTCGCTGCACCTGGCTGAGGCGGGCGGACCAGGTGACGGCCGGTGGCAGGATCCCTCCAGCCTGAGGCCCTGGGGCAGCAGGGGCCAGGCAGGCGTCCTGTGCCACCCGACTTGGGCTGGGCAGGCTCACGACAGCAGCTCGCTGTCCACGGGTCAGAGGGCGGTGAGCGCAGACCTGGGTCCTTCCTGCCTCTCCCCCTCTGGGGGCCCTCAGGCCAGGGCCCCTCCCTGCATGACCACGACCCCGCCTCTGGCCGGGGCCCCGCAGCCTGCCCACCGCACGGTCCCCCAGCAGGGACTCGGCTGGGGGACTCTGGGCCCAGGCGCCGGGAGCCAGGCAGTCCTGTGGTCCCCAGGTCACCAGCGGGAAGCCGAGATGCTGCGGGCTCCTGGACGCTTCCAGATGCCACGAGGGGGTGGGGCGGAGGGCTGACCAGGGCCCATGGCTTCTGGGCCGCAGCCGCTCCCTAACTGCACCCTCGGGCCCCTCCAGAACCCAGACTGGAGGCGGGAGGCGGCTGCCTCGCTCAGCCTGGGTTTCGGCGTTTCCGTGCCGGCGGCGCCCGTGCTCACCTGACCGGTACCTGCTGCGCAGGCAGAAGAGCCGGAAGGCGTCGGGGGAGGAGGTCCTGAGGAAGTCCTGCGGGGGACATGCCCAGCTGACGTGGCCGTGGCCTGGGCTGGACGGGCCTTCGCGGGCCTCTCGGAGCACGTCGTCGTCTGAGGCTCACGCCCAGCGCCACCCTCACGCCCCTGCTGTCTCCCGGGCGGCTGTCTGGGAAGCTCGTCTGCCTGGAGCCCTGGGCGCGCGGGCGAGGGCCCAGCCCCCGGAACCTGACCCCACTGGGCTCACTGGGCTGAAGTGGCAACAGCCGACACGCCAAGGCCAACCCTCCCTGGGGGGACAGGGAGGGACCGGGCCCGACCCCAGCAGAGGACGGGGTGGCCCGGGGCCTCCCGGAGGCGCCCTCTGCCCCGCGTGACCCTGGCTGTGCCTCGGCAGGGGTCACGGGGTCACAGTGCAGACGTGCAGGTCAGGGCCCAGGGCGGGCTGAGGACACAGGGAGACCAGGGGTCCTGGTGACCTCAGCCTTGGAGCCAGGGGCCGCGCGGAGACGGTTACCTTGATGGTGACGTAGTTTTTCAGAGATTTGGACATTTTTTCTTTGCCTTTTACGTGCAAATGTCCTGAAAAAAAAAGCAGAGCCCCTCATTCTCAAGCTGGGAGCAAGGGGCGCCCGTCCCTGGTGGGCGCTTCCCCAGCGGATGCCCGGCCGCGGGCAGGCCAGCGGGCGCCGGCGTGTGGCCCCGCAGCTGGTCTTCAGACGGGCCTGGACGGCCCCCGCACGCCCGCCCCGTCCAGCAGCAGCAGGGTGTGAGCGGGAGGGGGTCGCAGGCTGGCTGCTGAAGGCGCCCCCGCAGCGCCGACACCCCGCGCGGCCGGGGGTTCCTCGGGAGCTTGGCCTGAAAGGAGCGTGCACGGGCTGCGACCGCGTCCCGGGTTCTCGCCAGCTCCCGGGTCAGGGACACTCGTCATTCCAGCCAAGGGCGCACAGCCTGCTGGCCCGGGCAGCCAGCGGAGGCCTCCCCGGGGCCGCGCCTGCCCCGCTCACCCGCGTGCAGGAAGTAGTTCCCCCACTGCTCGCACTGGTGGAAGGCCTCGCACTGCGCGATCTCGTTCTCGTGGTGCGGGAAAGCCAAGTCCACGCCCCCGGAGTGGATGTCCAGCCGACTCCCAAACACCGAGCTGCAAGACAGGACGGGGGTCACCAGGGGTCCCCCGGCGCAGCTCCGCGCAGACGGGAACTGCTCCCGGTTCGCCGAGCCCCACTCAGCGGCTCCTCTGGGCGGACCGGAGCCTCGGCTCAGGCCGCGTGCGGAAACCGTCCCGGGACGCCGTGGTCAGGGCGCGCCCAGCTGGCCCCGGGCCAGGCCCACCGCGAGGTAAGAGGAAGCGGCGCTGCTCCGCTTCCAGGGGAGAGCAGGGGCCCTGCCACCGGCGGGCGGGGGGCGTCGGCCAGGAGACAGCGGCCCCCGGGCAAGCTGCGGCACGGGCGGCCGGTCCGCGGGAGAGACCCGACGCCAGCAGACCAGCACGAGGGTTCACGGAGACCCCGGGTGGTCACCCGGCCTGTGTGCCGAGAAGGGATGCTGGGCCGGCGCCCACCCCCGGGCCCGCGGGCACTGCTTCCCCGGAGCAGCGGCCGGCCTGGCGGTCCCCCCCACACCCCGGCCCTCCGCCCAGGCCGCTCACCTGCACATGGCCGAGCACTCGATGTGCCAGCCCGGTCTGCCGGGGCCCCAGGGCGAGGCCCACCACACCTCCCGGGGCTTCGCCGCCTTCCACAGGGCGAAGTCGCCAGCGTGCCGCTTGTCGGAGTCCGCTGCCGGGGACGGCTGCCGGTGAGCGCGGGCGGCGGCCGCAGGAGGCCCCCCAGGGCCCGTGCCCCGGGACGCGACCCCTCTGCGCCGGCTCCCGGGTGCGCTCCCAAAGTGGGCGCCCGCGGGCTTGAGGGGCCGGCCCCTGGGAGGCCAGCTCGGGGGGGCCCCCGAGTCAGAAAACCTGCTTCTGAGCTGCCCCGGGGGCCGGGCTCCCCCGTGGGCCCCCCGCACACGCGCCTCGGACTGTTTCTTGGCTGACGTTTTCCTCGTGTTTAAACGTATCGCCGGGGTGGCGGGAACGCGCTCCGCGGCTCCCGTGACAGGCCCCGCCCTCGCCACCACGCCTGGCCTCACGTCCCCGCCGGAGGGGCCGGGCGGGCCACACAAGCTGCACACGGCCCTTCGGCAGGTTGGCCCCCGAGGCCCGCGGCAGCAGGTCGCCCCCCCCACGCCGCGCCATCCGCCACCAGCAGCGACAAGCGAGTCTGGTCCAGCCGCGTGAGGCCGGGGCCTGCCGTGGCCCTCGCCGTGGGACAGCGCCCCGAGCTGCCTGACACCCACCGCGGGCCTTGGAAAAGGCTACACGGGGGGCAGGGCGGGATCGGGGCTCTGGAGAGGGAGGGAGCGGGCAGGACACGACGGCGCGCGAGCCCAGCTCCATGTCCGGCCGCGGGACGAGCGGCGCTCGGGCCACCCTGGTGGGAGCTCCTCCCGGCCAGAGCTCCGCGCGGGGCTGCGCGGGCACTCGGGGAGACTCCGCGGCTCCTACGCCACGCGCCGAGGGCTGGAAGCTCTAAAAGGCCATTCAGCAGGAGACGTGGCTGGTGCGGAACGTCGTGGGGGGGCGGCCCCCCATGTGCTCCCCGAGTGCCGCGGGGTGTCCTGCCTTGGGGGGGCGGGGCAGGGCGCGGCCGGTCTCCACAGGCCACCCCGGGGGAGGCAGGCCGGTCTTCGGGGCTCCCTGACTAACGCCCGCTCGAGGTGGTTCCCAGCGGAGCTCACATGGCTATCAGGCGCCACAGAGAATGACCCTGCGCCGACACGTACTGACCACAGCGCGGCCGTGACGGGCACAGGGCTGAGCGGAGGCGGCGCCTGGGGGCGTCAGGTGCACGTGTCCACAGACGCGGGGGGGGGGGGGGGGGCGGGGGAGGCTGGGGGCAGCCAGCCATCCTCTCCCCGGGCACCCTCCCCCGCCGGAAGCAGACCACAGCACGGGCGCCCCAGGCCTGCGGGAGGGGAGCGGCACCCACCTGGCTCTCCGGCCGGCCCAGGGCCCGGGGTGCCCAGCTGGCCGTACTTGTCCCCTCTCGACTGCAGGTCGAAGTAGACATTGCCTGTTGGGCAAGGGAGGGCGCGTCACGCTGGTCCGGCCGCCCCAGGCAGCGGCTGCACCACGGCCGGTGCCACCCTCGGCCCGGCTCTGGAGCTTGTGGCTGGGAGGGCAGCCGCTGTGGACACCCCATGAGCGTCCTGAGGCGCGAGGGATGCGGGGAGCAGCCCTGGGGGGTCAAGAGGAGGTGCCCGGGGAGGGCAGGGGTGGTGTCCCTTCACCTGAGGGCGTGGGGTGGCCTTGGCCAGGGGACACGCGGGTCACCTCCACTGAGAAGCAGCGGGGGGGGGGGGGGGGGGGGGGCGCATTGCCAGAGGGCCGGGTGGGGCAGTCCCAGGGAGGGGCTGGACGCTGCGGCCCTCGCGCCTGGGGACCTGCGTCCGGGCTGCTGGGCACACGGGTGCATTGGTCGGTGCCCACTGCCCAGAGCCGCACGCGCCATGCTGGGGTCCTGGTTCCCCCAAGCCCTCCCTCCCCGCGAACACTCTGGGCTGGTCTGAGACGAGCTCGTGACAAGACTTGAAGTGACGCTGAGAAGCCGGCGGGCCCCTTTGGCGCCTGCCCCAGCCCAGACACCTGCCCTGGCAGCCGCGGGAGCCGGGAGCATCCACGACCCACAGCCCGCACCCTGCTGGCTGCCCGTTGGCGCCCAGCACCGCCCCGCCCTGCCTACCTCTCACCGTGGGGTACGCGTGCCCCCGCGCCACGAGGCCCTCGATGAAGGCGATGATCTGAGGGATGTTGTCCGTCACCCTCATGTACGCCGTGGGCGGGAGGACCTGCGGGGGGACGCTCAGCGCTCGGCCCCGGCGCCCCAGGCCCGGCCCTCGCCGCCCGCAGGTGCGCCCAGGCCGCCCACCTTCAAGGCCGCCATGTCCTGCTTGAACTCCTCCTCGTACAGGCGGGCGAGGGATGCAGGCGAGACCTGCATCTGCGGAGACGGGGCGGCGTCAGCAAGCACCCCCCACCCCCACAGGGCCCTGCCGGGGGCTTGCTTTTAGGTGTCAAGTTTATTTACTTATTTGTTTTTTTTAAATCAGCCTTTTTTTTTTTTTAAAGATTTATTTATTTATTTCTACAAGCACTGGGCACAGTCAGAAGCGCGGGAGGGTGAGAGAATTCACCAGAGCCAGAGCGGGGAGCAGAACAGGCAGAAGGACCGAAGGACACTGCTGAGGGGAGCAGCGGGCGGCAGGAGAGTCTGCGCGCCCTGTGGGGAGCTCCCTGCCCGGGGATGGAACTCGTGCTGCAGAGGCTGCGGGCAGCTTCATAGTGCCGTGCTTAACCCCCGCGCTGCCCCGGAGGCCCCTAAGCTCCGAGTTCACCCGGGCCTGACCCCATAGTGCATTCAGGGACTCCCTGGAGGTGACGCGAGCTGAGCACAGGAGAGGAGCAGCCAGAAGATGGGGTGACAGGGAGAGCTGAGGCTGTGCACCGGGCGGGCTGGCATGGATGCACACCCCCCTCAAATCCACCAGCCCTTCCCCCAGGGCCTGCCACCGCCCGGGCCTCCTGCTCCCTTGGGGCATCTGAGGGCCTGGGGGGGAGGGGCAAACAGTGAGCCGCTGCCTGAGCCCCGGCACAAGCCAGCCCCAGCACAGCCCACTGTCGCCAGGAGCCCACCCGCCCACTGCGCCTCTGCCCAGGGCAGGAGGCACATCAAAACCACAAGCAAGCCCAAGGAGTGCGCGGGGGCTCTGCAGCCCTGAATGCGGGGTGGGGGAGCTCAGTCCCGGGGCTGTGGCCCGGCTGGTGGGGACAGGGCCATCTGGGGATGCACCCCAATCCCCAGGGGGGCAGCTCGCCAAACCAGGCCCACTAGCACCTTGCCAGCTGCGTGGCCGAGGGCACCTCTGGGCCTCCCCAGCCCATCGTGCAGTGGGGTGAACCAGGCGCCGTCGCCCTCCCAGCTGGCACCCAGCACAGAGGCCGTCCTAGAAGCTTCCACCAAGGGCCACGGACGTAGAAACAGCTGGAGTGGGGCCTGGCTGTGTGGCCTTGGGCCTCGGCTTTCTTGGCAACTCAGAGCACCCCCCCCCACCCCTCCCAGAGGTCAGTGTGCGCGGGGAGGGGCCCGAGGCAGCTGGGGAGCATATGGGGACCAGGCTGTGTCCCCCACCTTGGGGTCCACGTACATCCCACTCCCGCCCTGCACGCAGCCTGGGGGCCCAGCCCTTCATGGGATTCCCGGAGCTGCCGCCACCTCTCCAGGCTGCCCGCACCCCACAGCGGGGGCGGCAACGACCTCGGCCCTGCCCCTGCCACCAGGCTCCAGTTGGTCCCCGAGCCACAGACCCGGTGGAGACACCGCGGGCAGGACCCCTGGGGCCTCCAGCCGTGGACATGGGCTGCTGCGTGACGGGGCTCGCCCGGCCCCGGAGCTGGCCCCGCTGCCGACACGCGGCCTGTCCTGTCTCCAGTACGTGTTACCCGCAGGAAGCCAGCTCGCCCCCTCACGGCTGTCCCGTGGCTCCCAGAGGCCTCGCCTTCCCGGGCAGCGACCTCTCCTAGCGCCCCACCTCGTCCCGGCTGGCTTCTGGATTTGGAGACCGGCGTGGGAAAAGCCTCCCCATTCCCCGGGAGGCGCCCAAGCTCCGGGGGAGTCCACGCCGCCCCCCAGCCCTGGCAGCTCAAGCAGGCCCTGAGCGCGCAGCTCGGGCTGTTCCCCCATACGGTGGCACCGCCGGCAGCACTTTGCGCGGAGTAAGGCGCCCGGCTGGCCAGCAGCGCCCTGTCCACTCTCAGCGCAGAGCACACCCTCTCGCGGCCTGTTTCTGGGTGGGCGCGCCCCGCCACCTGTCCTTCCGGCCCCCGCAGACACGCCTCGGGAGGGCAGGCGAGCTGGGAGTCCTGGGGGCGGGTGGAGAAGCTCGTGCCCGGGGCTGGCCCAGCTGTGCGCCCTCAGGCTCTCCGGGCCGCGCCCTCCTCTGGCTTCCTGCATCAGCATCGCTTGTTTGACTGCACATTCCTTATCGAGGTGACACTGGCTGGCAAGGCTGCATGTGATTTAGGGGTGTGGGTCCACACCGGCCCCGCCCCACAGTCCACCCCTGCTGCCTGTCCTGTATGACCCTCACCACCTGTCGGGGTGACACGCCCCCCGCGGGACATGCCGCCGGGGGCAGTCACAAGGGGGTCCTCCCCCTGCTATTTCGGGGGTCTTCTAGCTCTCCCCATCCCCCGCGCTGGCCGCTGCCCGGCAGGCCCCAGCCCCACCGTCAGTCCTGAGCGCGGCCCGGCACCCCCTTCTTGGCGGAGAGTGGAGCCCGCGACTCCGCCCGAGTCACCCTGAGGCCGTCGCCATCTCCGCGCACAAACGCCGCCGCGGCCTCCCCACTGTACCCCGGGAGCCCTGCCCTGGTTGTCCTCCCTGTGACAGGCTGAACCACGGCACCCGGGGGTGACAACTCAGGATATCCGGGGCGAGCGCGGGCACAGCTGGCGGGAAGGGCCTCGCCACCCTGAGAAAGCCCGCCTTGGACAAAAGAAAAGTCCTCCTGCTGGGCACCGAGAAACAAACAGGTGTTTTCACGGCTGCGACCCCGACGTGCGCTTCACGACGCTGCAGCGGGACACGACTTTGAGAACAAAACCCGTTCGACACCGTGAAAGCGTCTCGCTGGGCACCGAGTACGGAAATTTCCAGGTGTCACGCGCTAAACGCTACATTTAGGGTCGTTGCGCCAACTCTACCGACCTGTCACAGTCTAGGCATCATAGAAATGCTCGAAGTGGGGCCTCCCCGAGTCTCAGGCTGTCACCGATGCGGCACAAGTTCAATCCCCAGCCAGGGAGCTACCCCCAGGACGCGCAGCCCTCTCCTGTCTCCCCGCTGCCTCCTCAGCGGTGTGTGTCAGTGGATCCGCCTGTTCTGCTCCCAGCTGTCTCTGGGGAGTCCTCTCGCCCCCGCACCTCTGGCCTGCACCCCGGCTCTTGCGCGCATAAATGAATCTTTAAAAGGGCGGAGAAATGCTCAAAGCGAAACCATTAGTCCCGGCAGCACCGTGAAGCCCCTGAACAGCTCCCCCTTCCCAGCTTCTGGCTGCTGCCCTCCTCCCAACACCCCCCGGGCCTCCTGGGGCTGCCCGCCCGGACGCTGCACTCTGGCCCTTCCTCTCAGGACCCCGGCCGGCCCTCTGGGGCTGGAGCTCAGGCGCAGCTGGGGCACAGGAGACACAGAAGGCCCCGGGGTCCACAAGTGGACGCGCCTGCCTGTCCCCCGCCAGGACAAATGCCGCGCCAGCCCTCGGAGCGGCCCGTGTGGACGGCAAGCCCGAGGCCCCACGAGGAGGAGCGGCTCCCGGGGGTCCGAGCACGGAGCGCAGGTGCACCGCAGACGCTCACCTCGCCGGCTCTCTGGATGATCTTGTCGTCCACGTCGGTGATGCCCATCACCATGACGACGCTGCACCCAAACACCCTGGTGAGGATCCTTCGGATGATGTCGAACCGGACGTAGGAGCTAGGAGGAGACACAGGTGAGGGCGTGCAGACCCAGGCACCCGGGGTCTGGGGGGCCGGTCGCGAGTCCCCCGCGGGTCCGAGTAGGGGGTGGGCGCTGTCGAGCGCAGCGAGGAGAGGCCGGGCCTGGCAGTGACCGCCATGCGGCCCCCGGAGGCTCCAGCTGCTTAGTGGGGGACAGTCGCCCCCTCCTTGCTCAAGTTCTGGAAATGTTAGTGTCTCACTGAGACTAAACAAGCAAATAGCAAATGAAGGGCACAGGCACCTCCTGAGAGCCCCTGGGGCCCAGGAGCAGGTGAGGTGGGCGCTGCTGAGCCCCGAACCCCGTTCCCCCCCCCCCCAGCGCTCACTGACGTGGAGGGGCTGAGGGTCCTGAGAGCTGACCCCGCCCGGGACGCCGGGGCCTGGGCCGCGGCTGAGGGGGCTGAGGGGGCTGAGGGGGCTGAGGGGGCTGAGGGGGCTTTCCTCCCCCGTGCCCCACGATGTCGGGGAGAGGCCGAGCCTGGCAGCCCCGTAGCCCGGGCCCGGCGGCTGAATTAACGGGATCACCCGCGTGTCTGAAGCGTCCCCCGCGCGGGCGCCCCCTCTACGGGCTCCCCCTGTGCAGGCGCCCCCTCTGCACTGCGGGCGCAGCCGGGTCACCGCGGCCGCTCCCCTCCCGCCCGAGCTGCCTCTCGGCGGGCCCAGCGGGGAGGCGGCCGCCCGGCCCGGCCCGGCGTCCCTGTCCCCAGCGCCCCGCGCGGAGGCCGAGGGCGCTCGCGGCCGGCACCCCCGGGGGTGCAGCGCGTCGGCCCGGGGGCTGCGGGGGTCCCGTGGGGCCCGGGTGCGGCCTCGGCCCCCGGCCCCGCGCGGGCAGCGAGTGTGGAGACGCGCCGGGGCCCCAGGGGCGGCCGCCAGCGCGGGGTGAGGTGGGGGGCAGGACCCGGCCCCCCCGCCGCCCTCGGGGGCCTCAGCGCCCCGCGCCCGGCCGGGCCCTGCCGAGGGGGAGCCGGGTCGCGGCGGGGCCGCGGGGGTGATCGGCGCCCCCGGGCCCGGGACACTCACCACGCGTGGCCCAGGTGCGCGTGGTCGTAGACGGTGGGGCCGCAGCTGTACCTGGGGGCGAGAGGCTCGTGGGCGGGTCCCCCCGCGGGTCCCCCCGCCCGCCCGCCCGCCCGCCCGCCCGCCGGGGCTACCAGGACGCGGCGTCCGCGCTGCCCACGACCAGCGGCTCCTTCCTCCGCGAGCGGCTGTTGTGCACGCGCGCGCCCGTGTCGTGGCCCGCGGGCCGCAGCCAGCCCCGCGCCCCGCGCCGCCCCGCGCCCGGCGCCGCCCGCAGCCGCGCCAGCCCGCGCGCCCGCAGCATGGCCGGCCCCGTCCCCGCGCCCGCGCCCGCCCCGGAACCCCGCCCCGGAACCCCGCCCCGCCGCGGAAGGCCCGGCCCCGCCCGGAAGAGGCGGCGGCGAGGGGGCGCGGGGGGCGGGGCCCCCGTACTGCGCCGGCCGCGCCCGCGCCCCAACACCCGGCACGCGCGGCAGGTCCGCGCCCCGACACGGTGCAGCCGGGCCGCAGCGGGCTCCACGCGGGCTGAGGCGCGTCTGCGCCCCCCACGCCGCCCCTGCGCCCCGCAGCCGCCCCTGCGCCCCACGCCGCCCCTGCGCCCCGCAGCCGCCCCTGCGCCCCACGCCGCCCCTGCGCCCCGCAGCCGCCCCTGCGCCCCGCAGCCGCCCCTGCGCCCCACGCCGCCCCTGCGCCCCGCAGCCGCCCCTGCGCCCCGCAGCCGCCCCTGCGCCCCGCAGCCGCCCCTGCGCCGGGGTGAAGGACCCGAGCCGGGGCCTGGGGTCCCGCCGCGCCCCGGCAGCAGACCGCGCGGTCTCGGGCGGGGGCCGGGCCGGAGACGGCGCCCCCGACCCGCCCAGGGCGCCCCGCGGCCGCCTTCCCCCCGGCGGGACTGGCTCCCCGAGGCGGGTTCCTCAGGGACGGCCCCGGCCCGGGCGGCCCCGCAGCCGCGGGAGAGACCACAGGGGCCGGCCCGGGGGGGGGGGGGCGCCCGGGGGCGCGGCGCGGCGGGGGCGGGGCCTCGGCGCGGGTCGGCGGGGCGGGGCGGGGCTTCGGCGCGGGTCGTCATGGCAGGGGGCGGGGCCTCGGCGCGCGTCGTCATGGCAGCGGGGCTCCGCGCGGCGGCGCCTCCGGAAGCCCCAATCCCGGAACGGGGGGCGGCGCGGGGGCCGGGCGGGGGAGCGGGCCCGGCGCCGACCGCGCCCGGTTTGGGTGGCCTACGGGTGGGGGGCGGCCCGAGCGCGCCCCCGGGGCCGGCGGGGCGAGGCCGCGGCCACCCGCCCGGGGCCGCCTCCCTCCCGGGCCCTTTGTCCTCCGAAGGCTCGGGCCGCGCTCCGGCCGGCGACACAAAGCGCGGGCGGAGGGGACAGCGCAGTCGCGAGCCGCCGAGGCTGCCGGGAGTGGTAGTCCGGCGGCCGAAGGGGCTGCCCCCCGCGCGGGCCAGGCCCGCCCGTCCCTGCCAGGGCGCATGCGCCACCACTTCCGCCCTGTCTGGGCCCGCCCGCTTCCCCGCGGGACGCGGGTTTCTAGTAGTACGAGCGGGGGGCGGTGCTCTCCGCGCTCGCTCCGCCTCCTCTGCGTGGTGATTGGGCCAGCGAGGTGAGGGCGGCAACGGGACTGGCCTTCGCGGTTGCCAATCTACTCCGGGCCCTACTTATACTCCTGCGCGGCGGGCCCCGGAGAGGCCGAGCGAAAAGGGGCCGCCGGGGTGCGCGGCGGCCTCGGAGGCGGCGGCCCCACGGCCGGGGCCCCGCGCCCCGGCGCTGCCCGGCGCGCGCGGCCTCCGCCGCGAAAGCCCCAGCGGGCCCGCGCCCCGCCCGGGCCCGCGCCCCCCGGCGCCCCTGCCGGCGAGGCCACGCCCCCCGGCCGGCGAGGGGCGTGCGGCGGGGGCGGGGCGGGGGGGGGGCGGCGGGCCGGGCGCATGCGCCGTGCGGGCCCGAATGTTTCCCAAGTGTTTGAAACTGGTATTTGGGTTCCACGTTGGACAAGTGCGGCGGGCGGGCGGCGCGCGCCCCTTCCCGCCGCTCGCTCGGCCCGGCCCGGCCGCCCGCCGCCGGCGCGCGCGCCCGCTCGCGCCCGGCCCGCGCCCGAGGCCGCCCGCGCCGGCCCGGCCCGCCCGCGCCGGCCCCCGGGCCCCGCGGCGCGGCGCGCAGATGTAGCGGCGGAGGGCGCGGGCGGGAGGCGCGGGCTCGCCCGGCGGGGCGCGGGGGCGGGGAGCGCGGCCGCGGCGAGCCATGTTGAGCCCGGCCCCCGGGGAGCAGCTGCACCTGGCCAGCTACGTGGAGGACTACCTGGACTCGGTGGAGTCGCTGCCGTGCGACCTGCAGCGGAGCGTGTCGCTGATGCGGGAGATCGACGCCAAGTACCAAGGTGCGCCCGCGCCGGGCCCCCGCCCGCGCCCCCCGCCCGCGCCCCGGGCCCCCCGCCCCGCCCGCGCCCCGCGGAACAAAGGTCCGAGCGCTGCTGCGCGGGGCCTGGCGCGGGGCGCGGCGCGGAGCGGGCACGGGCGTCCCGGCGCCGGGCGCGGGCGCTGCGCCCTTTGTGGCGGCGCGGGGGGCGGCGCGGGGGGCGGGCGCGCGGGCGGGCGCGCGGGGGGCCGCCGGGGCGCGCGTGGCGGGCGAGGGTCCCGGCCCCTCCCCGGCCGCCCGCGCCCCCGGGTGTTACATAAAGTGCGGGGTCGCCCCGCGGCTCCGCTGGGCCGGGCCGGCCGGGCCGGGGCGCGGGGCCGGCGCGGGCGGGCGCGGAAGTCGCCCATCTGTGCCGGCCCGGGGGGCGCCGAGACGCGCGGCCGCGGGGGGCCGGCGGGGCCGGCGGGCGGACCTGCGCGGCGTCCCCGCGGCCCGGCCGGGGTGCGGGGGGCGGGCGCGGCCGCCGGCATCGCCGGCTGGCGGGGCACTTGGCCGCCCGGCCGGGCTCGGCGCTGGGGCCGGCGGGAGCGGGTCGTGGCTCCGGGCGCCCGTGTTTACAAGGCTGCGCCGCGGGGAAGCGGAAGCGCGGGGGGAGGCGGGGAGCGGCGCTCGCGCCCGGCCGGGGCCGGGGCCACCCTCCGCGGCGGCGCCCTGCGCCTGTGCCCCAGGAGCCGCTTCGCAGCCTCTTTTATAGAAGGCTCATTAGCATACCGCGAAGCGCCCGCCTCGGCCAGCTTCTGATTGGCCGGAGTGTCCCCCATGGCATGTCCTTATCAGCCCGACGCCGAGCCATTGGTTGCTGGGCCGGATGGGGGCGGGCCCTACTCGGTGACTGGCACTGCTGTGTTTCCGCTGCTTTCTTTTTTCCTCTCCTGGAGTGGGGCGGGGCGGGAGCTTGTCCGGTTGATTTGAATGTCTCTGGGTCGCCCGGCCTTCGGCCTCTGATTGGCCGCGGGCACTTCGGGGGCGGGCCGTGTTCGCGAGCCCTGCGCTGGGATAGGTGCCCGGGCTGGCCGCCGCCCTCCGGGCCGCTCCTTCCCATAGGCGGCGGCTCCCGGGGCGGGGCGAGGCGCCGCTGGCCGCCCCTCACTGGCTGGCGTCCCCGCCCCCCGCGCCGCGGGCCGCCGGGCGCTTCCGGCCTCGGAGTCGCGGCGGCTGCGGGGCCTGCGGGAGAGGCCGGGGCGCTGGGGCTTCCCCCCGGCCCGCGGGGCCCGGGGCCGCCGCCGCCGCCCCGCGCCGGCCCGAGCGCCCCTGTCCCGCCGCGCCGCGGGGCTGGGCCCGTGCGCTCCGGGGCCGCCGCTGACCCCCGACGCCCCTCCGGGGGAGCGGCCACCGGCCCGGGGCTCGGCGGTCGCCCGCTCCGCCGCGCGGCGGGGCCGGAGAGGCCTTGGGGCTCCAGCCCGCCGCGGGTCGGGGCGCCGCCCCTCCCGGCCCCGCCGCCCTGAGCGGGGGTCCCCGCCCCGCCCCGGGGACCCCCCCACCCCCCCGCCCCGCCCCGGCTCCGGTGCATGTAAATGCGCCCCTCAAGGGGCCGGCGGCTCGTGCGCGGGAAGCGGGTGCCCCCCAGCCCCCGGCCCCGCGAGCCGGCGCTGACGGCCCTGTCTTGCAGAGGTGCTGAAGGAGCTGGACGAGCACTACGAGAAGTTCCGGCGCGAGGCGGACGGCGGCCTGAAGCGGCGGCTGCTGCACGGCATCCAGCGCGCGCTCATCCGCAGCCAGGAGCTCGGCGACGAGAAGATCCAGATCGTGGGCCAGATGCTGGAGCTCGTGGAGAACCGCGCGCGCCAGGTGGACAGCCACGCCGAGCTCTTCGAGGCGCCCCCCGAGCCGGGCGAGCCCGCGGGCAACGGCGGCCGGCCCGGCCAGGAGCGCGCCCGGGGGGACGCCGCGCCCGCCGACCGGCCCCACAGCAAGCGCGCGCGCCGGCAGCGCAACAGCGAGAACCGGGAGAACGCGGCGGGCAACCACGAGCACGACGAGCCCCCGGCGGGCGCGCCGCGGGAGAAGAAGGCCAAGGCCTCCAAGAAGAAGAAGCGCGCCAAGGCCAAGGCCGAGCGCGCCGCGTCCCCCGCCGACCTCCCCATCGACCCCAATGAGCCCACCTACTGCCTGTGCGACCAGGTCTCCTACGGGGAGATGATCGGCTGCGACAACGACGAGTGCCCCATCGAGTGGTTCCACTTCTCCTGCGTGGGCCTGAACCACAAGCCCAAGGGCAAGTGGTACTGCCCCAAGTGCCGCGGGGACAGCGAGAAGACCCTGGACAAGGCCCTGGAGAAGTCCAAGAAGGACAGGGCCTACAGCAGGTAGCCGGCCGGCGGGCAGGCCGGGCGCGGAGTCTCAGTGAGTGTCGGACAGGCCGTCCCCCCGGCGGCGGCGGGTCTCCACCCCCGTCGCACGCGCGCGTGTGGGGATGGCCGGCGGCCGGCGTCCCAGGGACAGCAGGCTCGGGCGCGGACTGCACGGGCGGGCGAGCCTCGGCCGGAGCCTGGGGTTGCGGGCGGCGACCTGGAAGCAGCCTAACACGTTAACTGTAAAAGAAAAGATTTCATTCAGCTACTATTTTATTTTAATAAAATAATGTTATTCCTTTACGAGAAAGAATTTTTAATGTCAGGTTGCTAAGAACGCAGTCCACGGCAGAGGCGTGTCTTGCTCTAACGATGTGCATCCGTGTCACAACTCAATAAAAAGGTTTAAAGCGTGAAGATTATTTTTTAAAAAGGTAAATGGTTAAATTTTACATGATGAACATTTTTTACGCTGGCCTGTTCCCCAGGCGGCCATTTTTACATGATTGGGCACGTTTTTGTATTGAACCAAACAGAAGCAGCTCGGGAAGGAAGGCAGCGAGGCGTCCTGCCGCGCCCAGCGCTGTCCGGCTCCCGGCTGTGCCCCGGGCCAGGGGACGGCGCGCCCAGTTGCTGGACATGCACCAGCCACACGCGACCTGCTTTGTGCGCGCCGCACAGACGTGGCGAGAAGTGACCAGGCTTGGCCGGTGTGTCGCTAGCAGCGCCTCCTGACGTGGCCGCTCAAAAAAAAACCTTTGTCTTCACAGTCTGTACACCAGCAGCTCTGCCAAAGCCTTAAGCGAATGTGGTACAACGCGCTCTCTCGAGGGCGATGGAGAAGTCACCCGAGCGCGGAAATGAGCGTCAGCCCCACCGCAGGGACCGGTGCTGGGAAGCGACCCCGCGGCCGCACCGCCGGCCACGCTGCCCGGTGCGTGGCCTGTGAGTTAATGGCCTGTTGGTTGTTAAATGGTTAAAAATAAAAGAATCCTGTGGCACGTGAACATTACCTGAAGGGAGGCTGTTGTGGGTGAAGAAGCCTCCCTGGCACCCGCCACGCCCACGCAGCCGCTGGCGCCGGGTGCTGGAGGGGGTGAGCTCCCCTCGGTCCGGCTGACGGAGCCCGGCCGTCGGTCCTGAGGCGGTGCCGCGGCGTTTTCATTTCGAAATAAGAAGCGGTCGCGTCTCCTCCGAGTCCTGTCTGTCTGGCCTGCTGCGTTGTCCCGCGAAGCTACCGCAGGAAGAACCCATCGGCCTTGCTGTTGCGTCTGGTCGACGCGGCGCGTGTCGATGATCGGAAAACAAGCTGATTTCTGTTTCTTTGCTTTGTGGATAAGCAATTATTGACAACTTTTATTTGCGTTAGACAGAACTCCTGACTTTTATAGTGAATTTCCATTGTAGAGGGCTATTTGATAAAAACATGCAAATTATAGTTGCTCCTCCATTAAAATGTGAACTTTTTCAGATCAAAAATAAACTTTTACTTTCTGGCAAAACCCCAACATTTAAGAACCTTGATTGAATTTGACAAGATTCGCCAACACAAATAATGAACAAAAGGTTTGGGATACTTGACAAATCAGTGGCAATAAAAGTAAAAAGTATTATATAAAATTGTATTTGCTGGTTTTTCACTTTTTTAAGGCTTCTGGATTTATGAGTGAAGATGGCTAGAACACACCTGCGCACACCCCGTCTCCTTGTGTCTGCTCTGTGGGGGGTTCACAGCTCTAGTGGAGCCACGGCAGTGTGGGGCCCCATCTTAGTTCCAGCGGTTGCTTGCCCTGAGTTGGGGTCTTCACTCAGCGCGTGCTCGTCACCTTCAAAGTGCCTGTTCCTCGTAGGCTGCTTCTCGGGCATGAGGAGGCTCCTCGAGCAAGGGGCCGGCCTGGGCAGTCAGTCATGGCCTGGATCCCCACCCCCCGGTCTTTCATGAAATGCCCAAGAAAAGCAAAAAGCTGGGTGTTTTTTCTTGCAAAGATGCAGCGTTGCAGAGAGACTCGGCTGGATCTGGCCAACTAAAACCATTTTTGCCCAGGACACAGGAAAAGCACCGGCGAGTGCCGAGAACAGTCAGGGTGAGACCCCTGGAGAGGTCCAGGGGGCTGGCTGGCCGGTGAAGAGCTCCCTGCCGCAGAACGGCCTGTCGCGTCCAGGCATGACAGGTGTGTGGAGCGACGACCAAGTCACTAGTCAGATAAGGCGTTTCCGTCAGCACATCACGCTTGGTGTTTGCAGCTGGACCGGGGAAGCCGGGTCGCCAGTTCTGTGGTGCCTGGACAGCCTTGGCCTGGTGTGGGCTGAGCCCTCCGGAGGGGCGGAGGCAGCGCCCGGCCCAGCACGAGCACGACGATCAAATGCAGCGTCTTGTTACCTGGGGGACCTCGGGAGGAGCGAGTGCTCAGACCAGCCTCGTGTCTCACCTTCCCGTGGCGGCCCGGGGGAACTGTGTGAAGGGGAGCGCTTCCGCGGGCCTCCCGGGGGTGCAGGGCTTGTCTCGGCACAAGGATGTGTTTATACTTTTTAATTGTTATTTTCTTTAACTTTTACTAAAAAAAAAATCAAACTTCATGTAGAAGACCGGGAGGAGATGGACCCCGCCCCACCTTCAGTGAGGAGCTGCCAGCCCTGCGCTTGGGCGCTGCGTGTCCCCCGCGCCCCCTGTGCCTCCCGCCGCGGGCCGCTCCCCGTATGTCTGCAGCCCCTGCCCAGTGTCCCTCTGTGTCTCCGGAGCCGCAGGCCTGACCGCTGCTGCCCTGCCCCTTCGCGCCGGCCTGACCGCTTCCAGGCGGTGCTGGGGGGCCATAGGGTGGGGCGGGAGCCCCTCGGGTCCTGAGCTGCCGCCCTCGCCCTGTCCGGCCTGGGGGCCCGTCTCAGGCGCGTACCCCAGGGTGGGGAGGGGCGTGGACGACAGACTGGACTTGGCAGTGCAAAGAAGTCTCGGCTAATTGTCCAAACCCGTGAGCTCTATAAGCGCCTGGGCCGCGCGGAGACGGCCTTTCTGAGCAGCGCAGGGCGCGCTCTCGGTGTCCGGACAGCGCTGGGCGCAGCCGCCGCCTCTCCCGAATGGCTGTGGCGCCCGTGGGCCGCTCCCTCCAAGGCCAGCGTGTCCGTGGCCAGCCTCAGCTCCGGGTCGAGGGCAGGGCTGCTGTCCCCTGCTGGTGGGCGCGCACGGGCACCACCCCGGAGGCCACGCCATGCGGGGCCCGGCTCCGCCTGTAGGGACCCGCGTCCCGGGACCTCACCTCCCGCTGCCTCTCTCCCCTGGCCGGCAGGTGCAGGGGCCGCACGGCCTCGGGGACCGTCTGACCTGCCCGCGCTTTTCCCTTCCGAGTGCACAGTTGGGCCCGGCGTGCCGTGGCTGCCACATAAAGGACACATTTAAGCATGTTCATTTTGCATCAGTTTGCACCAATTTCTAGAAAGACACGTTTTCTCTATGAAATGTACCCGATTTCTCCTGTCTTCTCCCACTGAGACCGGGTGTCCTGCAGGGCAGCAGTTTGTGTGATGCGGGATCTGCCTGTTCCCCAGAAATGCACAGGTCCCGGCCGCTGGCACAGGGCGCTCACCGCACCCGGCTCCTCCCGCACCTGGCTAGTCCCGCGGGCCTGGGGACAGCAAGCATCCGAGACGCGAGTCCCCGCAGGCCGCTGCACCGGGAGCTCTGCAGGAAGGGGTGCCCTCGGGACGGGGTGCCCACAGCGATGTCCCCGTGGGGGCAGAGCAGGTCTCAAATGCCTCAAATGTCCTGGATATTGCCAGGGGCCTGGAGGTCTGGCTGTTTCTCTGGTCTGAAGACCCCTGGTTTGATGCTTGGAGACACAGCCCCCCGGACCAGATGGAAACAAAAGCTGCTTTTTGAGAAGAAACGTGGGGCTCGGGGCCTGCAACTGAGGGTGTCTGTGTGAGCACCCACCATGCCCGAGTGGGGCAGAGGACCTAGCAGGCGCCTCCCGGCAGGCTGTGGGGGAGGGGCGCGTGGTCCGTCCTGCCCCTGTACTCTCCTGCCCTTGTTCCTTCCCATTTGGGGGTCTCGACTGGCTGTTACTGGGCCGGCGAGGTGAGGGGGTGGCTCTGACTGGGCCCCCAAACAGGCTCCTCCACTTGCTCCTACTTGGAGCCTGAAATAGAGGTTTTGTTTCGGTGCCTAGCTCGGAAGCCAGGGCTCCGGGGTGTCCTCCTCAGGTATGTGTCAGGTACTCAGCGGACACTTTTTAAAAAAGATTTTTATGGGCCTCCCCGGGGGCGCAGAGGTTGAGCGCTGGGTTGCGAAGCTGCCCGCGGCCTCTGCAGAGCCAGTTCGATCCCCGGCTGCTCCCCGGCCACCGGAGGAGGGTCCCACATGGTGCGCAGACCTCTCCTGCCGCCCGCTGCTCCCCTCAGCAGTGTCCTTCGGTCCTTCTGCCTGCTCTGCTCCCCGCTCTGGCTCTGGTGGATTCTCTCACCCTCCCGCGCTTCTGACTGTGCCCAGTGCTTGTGTAAATACATAAATAAATAAATAAATAAAGAAAGAAATAAATAAATAAATAAATAAATAAATAAATAAAGATTTTTTTATTTATTTATGCACACAAGAACTGGGGTACAGGCCAGAGATGCGGGGGTGAGAGGACTCCCCAGAGACAGCGGGGAGCAGAACAGGCGGATCCACTGACACCCACTGCTGAGGGGCGGCGGGAGGCGGGGGGGGAGGGGGGGGGGTCTGCCGCGCCGTGTGGGCAGCTCCCCGGCCGGGGATGGACCGAGGCCGCGGTGTCTGGGGACAGCTGATGGCGCTGAGGCTCGGCCCTGCGCCCCCGGGGAGGCCTGCGGGGGACCTTCTCGGGCTCGGGCAGGAGAGGCTGTGGGATGAGCTGGGCGCTCGCGGGGCCCTGAACGGGCCTCACCTGCGCGCCGGGCCCTGAACGGGCCTCACCTGCGCCGCCCACGTGACCGGGCCGCTGGTCTGGCGTCGGGAGGGACGGCCGGCCGGGAGCGCACGAGCGGGGTGGCCGCAGCCTCCTGGGGAGCCTTTCCCGGCCGGCGAGGACCCGGAGCGGACCGGCGGGAGAGGTGAGGGCGTGTCCGCGGGACGCCTCGGCCGGGCGCGGCCTCCAGGGCAGGCCGCGGCGGGGCAGCTGCTGCCCCCGGGGAGCCGGAGCCCCCCCCCCCCCCGCCGCTGCGCCGCCCAGGACTCGGGGGAAGGGACCCCGCTGGCTCGGAGGCGCCCTGGGGGAGCAGCGGGGGGGGGGCCGGACGGCCCCAGAGGCGGGCGCGGGGCGGGGCGGGGGGTGGTGGGGGGCTGCGCCGGACACGCGCTCGTCACGCGCCGGGGGGCCTGTGCGCACCCCGCGTGGCCCTGAGGGCCGTCTGTGGCGGGCGGGCGCGCTCGGCTGACCGGCCGCGGGGGCGGCGGGCGCGGGGCTCCGGGCGCCGCCCCAGTGTGTGGGGGCGCCGGGCCTGTCGGGGCGGGGTGCCCGGCGCCGTCCGGGGGCGCGTGCGGGGCCCGGCGGAGGCGCAGAGCCGGCCGAGGCGCGCGGACGAGGGACCCGGGGAGGCCCGGCCCGGCTCCGCGCCCCCCGTGTGTCCTGGGGCCAGGCGGCGTCGGCCCGGCTCCCGTCCCGAAACGGGGCTCCCGGGCGCGCCGGCGGGGGCGGGGCCCTCGCAGCACCGCGCGCGGCTGGGGGGGCCGGGGGGGGCGGGGGCGCCGCGGGCCAAGAGCGCGGCCTCCCCGGCGGGCGCCCCCTGCTGGCCGCCCCGCGCTGCGCCGGCCCCGCCGCTTCGCCCGCCCGCCCGACCCTCCGGCGGGCGGGGGGGGGGGGGGGGGGTGCCCGATGCGAGCCGGGGCGCCCGGGTGTGGCAAACCTGGGGGCCTACCCGACAGCACCCCCCGCTGCTCCCCCTCTCTCTGGAGGTGCCCCCCAGATCTGCCCGCGGGGTCTGCGCTGGTGTTCCGGCTCCCGCCCTTCCCTGGAGACCAGGGCGACCAGCCCAGGCTCGCGCGGGGAGCCCGGGGCCAGCGGCAGGGCAGGGCGCGGGGCTCGTGCCGCCGCGAGTCCTGGAACCCCGCTGGCTTCGGCGGAGAGATCCCCGCGCCAGCCCCGGACGGCGCGGCCCCCCGAGCGAGCGAGCCCCTCGGGGCGGCCACGGGCACCCGCGGGCCTGGCAGGCTCCGGCGGGGCCGCGCTGGCGTCGGGCCGGGAGGGACCTCGCGGGGCCACGGGCAGGGGCGCTGCGGGCGCCGGCGGGGCCGGATTGGACGGAGCCTGTCGGCGCGCGCCCCCGGCACTAGGCACCGTGTGACGTGACAGCTGTATGACGTGTGTATGACGTCACCGTCTTCCAAGGTGATGACTTCGACGTTCTTTTGCGAGACGGGAGCCGCGTCACGAGGGCGCCCGGGAGGGCGGAGGGCGGGGCGGGCGAGGGCGCCGGTGATTCCGTTTAGATGTCGGCGTCGTTTTGGACTTGAAGCGTCGAGAGCGGCGTTAGGCTCCCCGCGCTCTTGCCCGGGTCACCGCGGCCGCCCCGCCCCGGCTCCGCCCTGCCCGCCTCTCGCGGGTCCCGGGGTCACACTCGGGGCCGCCCCCGCTTCTGCGGGTCCCGGGGTCACACTCGGGGCCGCCCCCCCTTCTGCGGGTGGGGTCCCCCTCCCGCGTTGTCAAGGCGTCCTGGCGACATCGCTCGTTGGACTCAGCGCCTTTGGCCAAACGTCACCACCCACTGGCCGCGCGTCTGCCGGGCCGGGGTCGTCTCCAGAAGCCCGGGCTGGAGACCCGGCGCCGGCGAGCGCGGCGTCTGCAGGGCGGCGGCCTGAAGCCCCTGACGCCCGGCTGCGGGCCCGCTGGCCGGAGGACGCCTGCGCTCCCCCCGCGCGCCTGTTCTGGGTGTGACGCTGCAGCCCCGGCCGGTTCCTGTCGCGTGGCGTGTGCTGGGCACCGAGGCCACCCTTTGGCACGTGGGAGCCGAGTCATCTGGCACCACCGGCCAAAGAGGCGGCCCTCTCCGCCTGGAGCTGCCCCGGCGCCCCGCCGTGTCCCCCTCAGCCCCTCCCACGGGCGCGCTGGGCCGCAGGGCCCTGCGAGCCCCGATCCTTGGGTCCGCTGCAGCGGCTCACGGGGTGCCACGCCCGTCCCTGCCACCCTTTCTCAGACGTGTCCCCTCATATACCCGTGTGCATGTGCACGCGCACATGTTCACAGACACGCGCACAGACACACGCACACACAACTGCAAACATGTTCTCAGACACGCGCGCACACATGTTCACACGTACAGGCACATGCACACACTCGTTCAGACACACTGTGAGACACACTGTGAGGGACACACTGTGAGACACACTGTGAGGGACACACTGTGAGACACACTGTGAGGGACACACTGTGAGACACACTGTGAGGGACACACTGTGAGGGACACTGTGAGGGACTCACTGTGAGACACTCGTTCAGACACACTGTGAGACACACTGTGAGGGACACACTGTGAACACACTGTGAGGGACACACTGTGAGGGACACTGTGAGGGACACACTGTGAGGGACACTGTGAGGGACACACTGTGAGGGACACTGTGAGGGACACACTGTGAGGGACACTGTGAGGGACACACTGTG